TTCCCCACATCTTCTCTAACATTTATCATTTTCTGTTTTGTCACGTTGGCCAATCTGATAAGTGTGATATGGCACCTCAGAATTGACATTCCTGTTGAGCTGCTGAACTGGCCCTCAAGTGTAGCTCTTATTCATTGGCATTGCATACCCAAGAGCATTACATTCTTTCCTACAGGAAGAGGTTAAGATTAACTTGTGTTTCTGTAAAACTTAAAGGTTTACAAATGCTTTACCAAAACAACCATGTGTGAGGTGTAGATAGTGCAAGTTTTATTATCCTCATTTACAGTGGTGGAAATTGAGGCTCAGAGCTGAAGTGACTTGTTTAGAATTGCACAGCTAGTACATGTTGGAATCAGAACTTGAACCCAGCTTTTCTGTATCCACGTCAATTGCATTTTTCGCTATATAGCACCACAGTCCATCCTATGTTATTGGAGACGTACTGTGAGTTTAGTTGGGAAGGCACTGACTGTTCAATGTTAGGAATAGATAAAGGAACAAAACACAAGCCTTGCAGAGCAGCAGGCTCTAGCTAGAGAGCTAAATCACTGACAGTGCCAAGGACCCCGTGAGTGGCACATGGCAGGAAGAATATCAGGAGTTCTGAGGAAGAGAGGATTATGAGCTGGCATATCCAAGAAAGGCTTCCTGAAGAGGGTGTGATTTCAAGAATGAGCTGTACTTGGCTCAGTAGAGAGGAGGAAGAAAGATCTGAGAAAAGCCATAAAGGTAGGAATTGGGGATCCACAAGTTTGACCAGTCTCTTAGAAGCAGAGACTTTAGCTAGATATCGGCTGAGTAGCCCGAAGAGCTGGGTTCGAGGCTAAGCTCTGCTAGCTAGTGATCTAGACAGATCGCTTCTCAGGTTCTTTCTTCCTCCTTCAGATGAAGGGGTGAGACTGGATGATCTGAATTTCTTAACAGCTCTGACATTGTATGTTCAAAGATCCCTTGAAGCTCTAACGTTATATGTTTTAACACTCCACGTTCTAAAGTTTTTCCCAGCCCCACCATTCTGTGATACTGTAACCTTTCTTCCGGGTGGCCAACTGGAAGCTTTTGGCAAAGGATGACATCCATTACTATGTTGCTATGAGGAAGTAGAAGCTCCACATATTTCCCCATAGCAACTATTACCATTAGCCTAGCAGTGTCCCTGCGTCTGTCCTGGTCTAAGCCAAAGGCCTCCTCACTAGGAGCTTCCCAGAAACCTTAATATTCTCTTTGCCCCTGTGATTTCAGAACCCTCATCTACAAACATAAACCTAGTTGTAATATAACATAACACCTAGGCTATTGGTGATGAGGGAGGCCAAGGGGAAAGGGGGCAGGTCAGGGCTTATCTCTGCTTTTCCAGACTGGCAGCCCTGTTTATTTATCTGGGCCAACAGAGAAAATGGCTGTGGTTGTTTCCAAGGGTGTTGTGTGAACCAATAGCTAAATATACCCACACCCCACTGCCTCTCAGCTGCATTAGAAAAACAGAGCCCATCTTTCTGGGCACAGACCTATGCCCAGGATCCAAATTCCAGGGAGAACCTGGCATGTTTTACCCGCAATGAATTCCTGTTGTCCACCTCCCCAGAAGCTGAACAGGAATGCACCAGAGCTGGGGGTGGGGTGGGGAGGAGGGCAGGGAAGGAGAGAGGAAAATATGTGAGCTTTGTTTGTTGTTGCATCAAAACTACTGTTCTCTGCTCTCTTTGAGTGACTGTTCCTGGACAGTATGTGCTTTGTGTCTCTGTGGGGACAACAGCCTGTTTACTCGTTAGGCCCCAGCAAAGACCTAAAATTCCCTGTAGTTCCCAGCTCAGTTCTTAGGAAGGGGCCCTGCCGGGAACATAGGCATCTCTTCCTCTGGTTAGGAAATAGCCTCACTGGGATATGGGGTACCCTCCTCTGCCCCACCAAATAACTAGGTTTTGATCCAGTGATCCTTTCTGCCCATTTGTACTTGTTTTTTTGATCCTTCCTCTAGCTGGGAAAGGGTTACAGTTGAGAACTGAATGCCTTAGGGTTTCTCTAAGTAGATCACGTGGCTTCGGCTTTGGATCCCTCACTCCCTGGGGATCAGGAAAAATTATTGATGTCTTTCCCAGGAAAAAGGAGTCCATTTGGATCTGGCTCACCTCCAATAATGGAAAGTACCCCATTCCCATTCCATTGTGGGCACGCCTTTGTAGTTGATTCCTCAGGTCTCTTGACCAATGACCCTGAGATTTCCTCCCACCCTGGATCCACTTACCTAAATCTTGCCTTTCCTTCAAAATTCAGCTCAAGTCCTACTCCCCTGTGAAGCCTTACTTGATGATTCCAGCCCGCCATGATCTTGTGGATTCATAGGATCATAGACTTAGAGCTGGGAGGGAGCGTCTAAGGGTTGTCTAGTTCAACCTCTTCATTTTATAGGTGATCAGACTGTCACCTGGAGAAGTTCAGTCACTTGCCAAGGTCACATAGGTAACAATGAATGACAGAGCGAGGATTTCATCCCAGTGTTCTTTCCACTGCACCATGATGAATGGCTTTGAGAGGTAGAAAGGATCTTGGTACCCTCCTTTTATAGAGAAGGAAACTGAGGCCCAGAGGTTAAATGATTTGTTCAAGGTTTTGCAAATAGGTAGTAACTGGCAGAGCTGGGCTTTGAACCCAGATCCTCCGACTCCAAGTCTGTTGCTCCTTCCATTGTACTACACTAGCACAGATGGCCTGAATTTTTAGTGATGTATGTATATCCCATGTCTCCAGCTACCTTACAAATGCTTTGATTAGGGAATGTGTCTTTTATATCTTTGTATATCTCATGCTTGTTGGTGATGAGCAGCTCTCAAGTGTAGGCTCAGCCTCAGTGGATGAACTTGAAGCCTGGCCCCAAATTGCTTGGTGGGCCTGCTGGTCTAAGGTCCATATTAAAGAGGCAAGCGAGACTGAGAATCTGGAGACCTGGAATCCTGTTGTTGCTTCACCACTGATTTGCTGTATGACTTTGAACAATCTCCTCCCCTTTGTTAGCCTCAATTTCCTTCTCTATAAAATAGCATTGAACTAGGTGCTTTTTAAAGTCCCTTCCAGCTCTAACATTCTATCATCCTGTAGAAAGAGATTCTTGGATATGAGTAATCAGTCTGCTGTGTCCTCTTAGCTTGAAATCTAAATCTTAAAATTAGAAGAGACCTTAGTTTCCTAATCCAAGCCTCCATGGGATGCCCAGACCTGAGAGCCCAAACACTGGGTTTGGAGTCAGAAGACTTGAGTTCAGTTTTTGCCTCTGCTACTTTCTACCTGTGTGATCTTGGGCAAATTGTGTCCCTTTTCCAGGCCTCAGTTTCTTCTCTTTTCAAATGATTTCTAAGATCCCTTCCACCCCTTCACATCCCATCATCCTGTGAGTATATATGGTGGGGATCAGAGGGAAGCCAAGTTATGGACCCTGCCATCAGGTATCTGCCCTGAGTTTGGAGTCAGAAGATCCTGTCTTGCAGTAGTTTTGGGAGAATGCTTTAATAAATTTCTGAGGCAGATAGGTACAAGTGTAGATCAGTATAAATTGATTAAGTGCTGGGATGGGATGCAATAAAGATACTTTTGGGGAGGGCAATCCTAGAAGACTTCCTGGAGGTGTGTGTTGATCCAGGTTTAAGAAGGTACAGGAAGTAGATTGAGGAGGAGGAGCCCCTGCCTAGATTCTTAGGATTCAGGCTATTTGGCATTCTGCTAGAGGAGGTGTTAGAGAGGTAGGAGGTCCAAAAGCAGTTGGGTGGTGTCATTGACTAGGATAGGGTTTGGTAGTGAGAATCTGCTTTTCCCCTTGAAGCAAAGCAAGCCATGCTCTATCATGACTGTGCCTCCAAATCTGGTTAATTTTATGCCTTCCCACTCCCATCGCACATGCCTCCGTCGAGAGTACATCCATCAGCAGAACCACCAAACAGTTGTCTTCTGGGCATAGTCCCTCCTTCCCACATGGATCTCCAGCCCTGTTTCCCTGACCTACACAGCCCTTCCATTCTTTTCCTCCTCTTTCCTCCTCCATCTGAGGAAGGCGACGCTTTGCCTCCTTGAATTCTTGTGTTTGTATAGCACAATGCAATCCGTTATCTCACAACTACCTTCAGGAGAGGTGGGACAGGATTATTATGCCCATTTTTAAAGAGAAAGGCAGCTTAAAATGAGTACGTGTGGACTGGGTTCTCATCTCTACCTCAGTGTAACAGTGAGCAAGTCGTTCTGCCAGTTTGGGACTTCAGTTTTCCCATCTGTAAAATGTGGGGGTTGGACTAGATGATATCAAAGGCCTTTTCTAACTCAGACATTTTCTGTTCTATGTTCTAGGGCCCTTTTCAACCCTGACATCTATTTCAGCTCTTCAGCAGCACTAACATTCTATGTGTTCTGTGAGCCCTTCCAATTTCTGACATTCTCCTTTCTCTATTCCTTCTCTTTTGTGGTCCTCTCCAGTTCTTTCATTCTACTTAATGTCCTGAAGTCCTCTGTAATTTTGATATTCTATGTTCTTTGTGCCAACATGTTCTAAGGACCTTCTTGTTCTAGAATTCAGTGAAATGAGATACCAACACAGAGGTTAAATGACTTGCCCAGAGTCCCATTTAGTAGATGGTAGAATCCAGTTTGCACAGTCCAGTGTCCCTTTTATGATTCCATACTGAGTCTTATGATTAGTAAGTGAGTGATGTTCTCCCTGGCCTTTAGAAAAAAGGCCTCTGGGCCTTTGCCCTGCCCTCACTTTGGTGTTACAAGAATGACTTGGTTGCATTTCTTTATTTGCTACTGGACTGGTGATAGGTAATTTTGTGGGCTGGGATTGGGAAATTTTAAAAAAAAAATGGCCACTATATTTGTGTACACTATATTCATGTAGCAAGAAAGTCCTTGGTCTTTCTCCTTTTTCCCAGATAGTGCTTTGGGCTCTTGTCTGGGTTGGTTTTTCTTTGACTCCTAGTTGCAACTGCCCCCAACAAATCCTTTCTCCCCCACAGGACACCTTCGTGGAGCTTTATGGGAATGATGCAGCTGCAGAGAGCCGGAAGGGCCAGGAACGCTTCAACCGATGGCTGCTGACTGGCATGACAGTGGCTGGTGTAGTCCTACTGGGGTCCCTATTCAGCCGGAAGTGACCATACACTGAATCTACCTTGGAACCTCTCTGATCCACCCACTTCAACCCATCTTGGCCTATACTCTGTGCTGACACAGAGGCAATCCACTACATGCAGCTGATGTCTATCACATGGGGCTAAACCTGACCTTCTCCTATGGTCCCAACCCCCTTCCCACCTCCAAGGTCCCCAGTAGTATACAGTCTGAGACCCTTTGGGCCCTTTTTCTGTTCAATTTCTAAGTCCTCCAAAAAGAAAAAAACAAAAACATGCAATTTCTTGAAGCTCTACCACACTGGGGGTGCTGGCTGCCTGGTCATGACTTCTCTCCTTCCTCAGACTTCTATAACTGGGCCCTTCCCCAAACCTGACCAAATCAAGAAGAATCAACAAAAAAAAAAAAAAAAGAAAAGAAAAACTTATAAAAACACCCATAGAATTTTCCAGGGGGAAAAAATAATAAATCAACTTCATTTTTTTGCGTGTGTGTTATGAGAATGGATAATTTTACTCCCCTTGTAGTCCCTAATGTTGGGAAGGGCCAAGAAGAGGTATTCTCAGATCTAGGCCTCTACATTATTACTAAGGTCAGATTTTCTGTAAGGACTTCCTGCTTGAAGCAGGGGGTGGGTGGCTTGCTTGTGTAACCTTGTAGTTAGTTGTCACAGGTTCCAGATCACCAGGTTTGGCCAGCCTTAGGCACCTCTCCAAGCATACTGCCCCTTCTGGTAACTCCAAATCATGCCTCACCCACCACCTTCAGAGGTAGCCTAGGAATCCAGTCATACAGGTGACCCAAAGTGTCTCAGGATAGTGACCTGCCATGGCTTTGACTGTCTTGGCTGGTGAGTTGGACCAATATTTCTTGCTGGAGTTAGTGGGCTTACAGAAGGAAGGTATTGATGGTTGTCAGTTCAACACCATATCTGAGTCCTCAAACTGCTGAATAGCCCCTCCCACCCCATTTAGCTCCTGCCCATCAAGAGAAAACAGGAGGTATAGGGAGAGACCCAGGAAAAGTAGCAACTGAGAGCTGTTTAGAGCTGTATTCCTTAGTCATCTTAGTTCTTGGAGATCTCAGGAGAATGTGGATCTGCCTCTCTCCTGAATCACTTTCAACCAATGCCCTGGAAAAAAGGTGAAACTCAGACCCAAAGGTGAAGGGGAGCCCCAGGATGCCTAGCAATACCTGGGAGTGCTTACCGGGGCTCTCAGGACCCCTCCCATTTAAGGTGGCATGTTCTAGTGGAGTAAGTACTGCTCCTAGGACTTAGAAGACCTGGGCCCAAATCTCAGCTTCACCACTAAGAACTTGTGTGACCTTGAGCAAATCAGTCCTCTGAGCCTCAGTTTTCTCTTCTGTCAAATGAGGGAATGGACTGGCTGATCTCTAAGATCCTGATAGCCTGACTGTGTTTGCTTGGTGACTGAAAATGGGGAGGAGGGAGAAGGGAGGTTGGTTCTGAGAAAGATTTGACTCCACCATACTAACTTCCCTCTCGGGCCATACCCCAAAACTCCCTCCCTGAGCTTTCAGAATTCATATTTTGGGTGCTTACTGCTTAGCCAGGCCAGGCTGTTTGTCGCTTTCCGCAGCCTGCCAACCTATGACCTCTCTCATGGGTCTGAGTCCGTCATGTAAGTGGCACCAACCTACCATTAAAAATGCTTTTCTTATCCCAGTTGATGGATCAGCCAATTCCTCATCACCACCCTTTGACTCTCCCCATGCCACCTTGCCCCTGTATCATAGTCTTGTCTCTGCTGTATATATTTGAGATTAGTTTTTATTCCTTGTGAAGATGATATACTATTTTTGTTAAGCGTGTCTGTATTTATGTGAGGCTCTGCAGGGCTGCCGTGTGGTGAACGCTTGGGGAGATGGTTCCCCCTCCCCCATTTAACCCCACCTTCCCCTTCAGTGCCCCTAGGTGTAGGGGAGACTGATAACTCCCCAGCCCAGGCCTAAGGGTCTTCCCTCTCCCATATCCTGGCTCTTTGAAGTAGTCTGTGTGATGGTGGAAGTGCAGTTCAACTAATAAATTGTGTTTGATTTGCTGGTAGCGAGTGCTTCTTGTGTGATGGGGAGTCCAAAAGGGAGGTCCAGGGTGGGGGGTGGGGGGGGCCACTCCTAGGGTCATGGGGATGGGCCTTGCATAGCATCATTCTCTCTTGTTTGGAATGTTTTGGGGTTAAGGGGAGAATCACTCCCCTTTGAACCTGAACCCTAGCTCCTAACCCAGGCCTTACCGCCAAGTCCCTACCCCTGCTTTTGTGTAAGGTATAGGATTCAGCTGCCCTCTTGTGGATACAGTTGATACTGTCACAACCAGACTCACTGGACCCCAGTCTCCCTCCTTCAGCCACTGCTTTTGCACAAACTTGAAATAGTATGGTGTAGTGAAAAGAGTGCTGAAATTGAGAGCCAAAGTACTTGGGATTGAATCCTGATTTTCCTACTAGCTACTTCTGTGACTTCAGCTAAGCAAGTCACTTGACCTCTCTGGGCTTCACTTTATTCATCTGTAAAAATAAAGGTTTCAATTTGTTGATCTCTGAAAGTCCCTAACTCTGAACCCATGAGCTTTCTCAAGCAGGACCTCTTGCTGGAATGAACCGAGGCAAATGCCACATACTTCATCCATCAGCCTGTCTTCATGCCATCTTATCCCATTTTCCATTGATGGCTCATTTGAACAACTGACTGTATTAAGAGACCATGGAGTCAGTCCGACACCCTCATTTTACAAAGGAGTGAACTGGTGGAGGGAAAGTAACTTGTCCAAGGTCACTGAGTCCCTAAAATTCTATGATTCTTTTTCTCTCTGGGAACCTCAGATCCAGCCAATTTGGTTTTCTCGACATTCCCAAGACATGCCTTGAGCTTTCCTATCTCTTTGTCTGCTCATGACTCTGCCACATAAATACAGAATTCCCCTTGCATGGCATGTTTGCTCCCTCCCTGTCAAATAACAGCTCAAATCCCACTTGCTCTGAGAAACCTTCCCTGACCATCCTAGCCCCTGGTGTTTGAACTCACATTTATGGGACCCTGAGCACACACAAGATTGAATTGTTGGTTATCTTGTGAATATGTCACCTCCATTAATTAAATTGTACTCTAAGAAGGCCAGGTACCAGGTTTGATATTTATTGAGGGAGAAAGGGTTCAGGAAGAGATGCAGATGGAGGAAAAGAAGGGGAGGGAAAAGGAGTGAAAGGAATAGAGACTGAAGCATCCAGTGGGAGCTAGCCCAAGGATGGGGTTGGTGGGGACAGGCCTGTTGACTTGGAAAGGCTGAGCCAGGAAAGTTCAGGCTGTGGAGTCACTTCTTCCAGTCATTCCGACTGTAGTCCCACTGGGAAGCCAAGCCTAGAATTGGGTTTCCCTTCATGTCCAATACCCGCTGCAGCTGTTTGGACTTCCAGTCCTCAGACAATGTGATGGGCTTCTCCGGAAATACTGCAAAGGGGAGGAGTGGTTGGTACTGTGGCTCAGGGACCATCCTTACCTGATTCTCCTGTCTCAGCCACCCTAGGGCCAAGACCATATTCATGGTGTTGACTGAGATGGGAAATGACCTAGGAGTTCTCCAAGAGAGCTTCAGGCTCAACTTCAAATGGGGTTAGGAGAAAGATGGGGAGGGGGAGCTTCCCTATATTTGCCTTCCCTTTCCTCTTCAGCCCCTTGGCCAGTCACATGTGTTCCCAGAATATTTTTCTTTCCCTCTTATTACCATGAGAAGAAAAGAGCAGTGGGCTGGGAGTTCAGAAACCTGGGTTCTACTCCTGACTCTACCACTATGACACCTACTAGCTCTAATATTCTGTGTTATAAGGTTCTATCCAGTGTGGGGATTCTATGTTCAAAGGCAGTGGTTCCCGATCGTTGGTGGTAATTGGAGTTAACTGCAGGAAGCCTGCAAATACACAAATAACGAACGTGCTTTCTGTAGGCTGAATATTTCGAACAATTATTTTCCAAATGTCTGTAATTGACATTGTATTTAACAAAATACAAATTCATTTAAACTACTACTGATTTTTATTCATCTTTATATTATGATTTTTTATCATGTATTTTCTCAGTCAATGGATTTAATGGAATTGCTGTCATGTGGGGATGCATGATATTTTTGGACATTGAAAAAGAATCCTTATACTTGAAAATTTGGCATTTAGGTGGCACAGTGGATAGAGTGCAGGGCCTGGAGTCAGGAAGATCTGCGTTCAAATTCAGCCTCAGGCACTTAACCGTGTGACCATTTAACCTCTGACTCGGTTTCCTCTACTGTAAAATGGGATAATAATAGTGACTAACTTTCAGAGTTGTTGTGCAGATCACATGAAATAATATTTGTTTAGCACTTAGCATAGTGGCTGCCTGACACAGTAGGCATTTAATAAATGCTTATTCCCTTCCTTCCTAAAGTCCAGCTTTGACATTCTATGTTCTAAAAACTCTTCCATCAATACTATGAACCAATGACTTGTCCATCCACCTCTAAACCCTGGGTATTAAACTGCTTTCTGGGCAAGGGGAATGGAATGGGTTGAGGCCCTTGTAAAATACTTCTAACGTCTAAGGATAAGTCCCTATTTTCAAAAACACCCCTCTCCCAACTCCATCTATCTTAATCTGTGGCTTCAGACAAATTGACTAAAACCTCCCCATAGCCATGCCTTGCTGGCCTGAAAGAAGGTCCCAGAAATTGTGGGGGCCTAGGTAGGTGGTGGGAAAGTAAAAACTGTCATTCACCACACTGTGTCCCTGTCTAACCAGCCACTCACCATATAGCCGCTGCCAGCATATCAGGATTCCAGTGAAACCAAAGAAAAAGAAGACTCCTCCCAACACCGTCTTCCATTCATTGGATGGTCGGTTCATCTCTGCAAAGGTCTGATGGAACTGCATGCGATAAACTGGGACCAAAGGGGTAAAGGTGGTCCTCAGGGTTCTGCATATCCCTGAGGGCCATTCCTCTAACCCATGGCCAAGGCAGTGGAGGTCAGGGAGCCTCCACCATGGCTCCTTCCATTCCCCTCTTCTCTGAGTTATCCAGGGGGATCCCCCTAAGGCAGGTAAGTATCTCTGCCTGTCTTCTGCTTTACCAATTTTCTCAGTCCCTCAAACATGATGTACTACCTCTTCCCTCTTTACCTTTAAATCCTCCCCATCCTTAAGGGCTCACAACCTGCCTCCTCTGAGAAACCTTCCCTGACTACCCAGGCCCAAGAGGAGCTATTCTTCCCTGCAACTCCTACAACTGTCGCTGTCTAAAGCCTCTCATTCAGCTCTAAGTGTACATGTCCTAATTTCCAGCTCTCTTCCCCTTTCTCCTCTCTGATGGCAAGGATTATCTCTGTACCTTTAGAGTCAGAGAGCTGGGTCCAGGTAGCCATTCTGGAATGAGAGAGGTGCAGGAGAAAGATTATTGGAGTTAGAGTCAGAGGAGGACCTAGGTTTGAATCCCAGCAGTACTATTTATTGCTTATGTGGCCTTGGGAAAGTCACTGCCTCTCTAGGCCTCAGTTTCTTCATCTGTAAAATGAGGGGGTTGGACTAGATGGCCTTTCAGGCCCCACCCAGTTCTAAGTCTATGATTCTATAATGAACAGTGGCAGCTGACCCTGAATCTGAAGGCTCAGCTTTGATACTTGCAGCTATGTGACCCTTCTAGGCCTCAGTTTCCTCCCTTGTAGTGTGGGTAAAATAATACTTGGGTTTCCTACCACCATGTTGTTGTAAGGAAAATGTTTTGTAAACCTTAGAGTGTCATAGAAATGAGAACTATTATTCTGGAATATTTCTGTGAACAGGCAGGATCATAAATTTTAGAACTGAACGGGACCTTAAAAAGCATGAATCCATCCCACGCCATGCTTATTTTCTGGGAGGAATCTAAGGCCCACGGAGGGAAAGTGACTTGTCCAAGTCTACACAGATATGAAGTGGCTGATGCAGAATTCCAGTCCAGCTCCTCTAACTCAGTGTTCTTTGTGTGGCACCTGGCACAAGGCTCCTAGTGCTGTCCGTTGCCACACTGCTCTCCACTGTTCCTACTCCCTTCATCCCGACAGGGGAATGAAGTTTTCTCTTCTATCTCAAAATGAGCTCCAACTTCATGTATTCAGAGAAAAGCTTCTTCCAGGCCCCCTCCTAATTTCTGCCAACTCACACTCTCCCATGCCATTGGCGAGCTTGACCAAAATGGGAGACTAAGGCTTCTAGGCCTATCACCATATTCAGCTCTAGGCCAATAGCTCCACCCCATTCAGCCCTGTTCCTCTCTCACTCGCCTCCCACCCCTGCCAGGCAGATCCCACCCTCCCATCCCGCCAAGAACTTACGGGCCACTTTCTCAGCATCTGTAAGTTGCTGCCACGGCCCTTTCTCCTTTTCCTTCAGCGCCCGCTGCTGGGGGCTTGGCTCACTGCAGAAGGGCTCATCCGGCATGGGGTAATTGCGCTCTGCATGGTAGTTCGTGTACGGAGGCATCTTCTGGCTGCAGGCTAGGGCCACAAGGAGGCTGAGCTAGAGGGGAGGAGGAGCCTGCCCCAGAGGGGAGGAGAAGCCTGCCCCAGCTTTCCCTTCTACAGAAGCCGCATCTCCTCCCAGAGCCTTACTTCTAGGGGCGACAAGACTCAGAGCTCTCCTCCCCCCCTATCCATAACACTGGCCCCCTGGGAAGAGGCCCATGATCATCTGACCCCTTGCATCTCCTGCCCTCTCTTTCCCACCTCCTTCTTGCCCCCCAACCCACTGCTCCCTTCTCATCCTGGCTCAGACCACCCCCCTTAGCATCAGTTTCCTCATCCATAAAATGAGGAGCACTTTGCACGAATGGTAAGCCGCATTTCTATAGCACTTGGAGGTTTACAAAATGCCTTCCTCATAGCAGCCTTGTGAGTTAGGGAAAGGATGCACATATTTACTGTCCCAATTATACAGATGAAACTACTGAGACTCTGAGAGACTCTAAAACATCTTGCTTCTGTTTCAAGAAAACCAGAACCTTCTCTTACCATATCTTGCCTGATACTGTCCAGTGTGCTTTCTACTAAACCACACTGTCTGTCAGCGGTCTAGACTGGAAAGTCTTTAAGGCCCCTTCCAGCTCTAACATTGCTTTACATTCTAAGGCCCCTTTCGGCTTTGATGTTCTATATGTTCTAAAGTTTCTACCAGTTCTGGTGTTGAATGTTCTAAGGTCCCTTTTAGCTTTGACATTCTGTCCTGTCTAGCTGTAACATTCTACGTTCTAAGGTCCTTTTCAGCTCTGACATTCTGTGTTCTATGTTCCAGGCTATGAATTCTGTGATCCTTCCCCTCCTGGTTCCCTATCTCCAGCATTCTGTTTCTGCGTATTAATCATATAAATCCTACCTTATGTCCCAACTCTCCTATCCGAAAAGCCTTCCTTGACAACTGCAGGTCTATGGAATCCTTTCCCTTCTACTATCCTCACGCGTTAGGTTGTTTTTGGTTTTTTTTTTTTTTGGTTAGACAATGGGGTTAAGTGATTTGCCCAGGGTCACACAGCTTGTAAGTGTTAAGTGTCTGAGGCCGGATTTGAACTCAGGTCCTTCTGACAGGGCCGGTGTTCTATCCACTGCGCTACTTAGCTGCCCCCCCATCTTCACACTTTGTGCCACACATATAACAATACTGATAATTCACATTTCTGTATCACTCTACAAAGTTTGCAAAGTAAGTTCTTCCCAACAACTCTAAGAAGGACGTAGAGCAAAGATTATTATACCTATTTTACGTATGAGAAAACAGACTGGGACTAGAGAAATGAAGCGTTATACCCCGTGTCACAGCTGGTAAATATCTGAACCAGAACTTGGACCTTGGTCTCCTGACATCAGAGTCAGTCTTCTTTCTTCTCCATCAAATAACCTCTCAATGACATTCGCTCTTGATATAGTTGGAAAGCTCTCTCCCATGATTATCAGTTGATATCAATTAGTCAGCCAGACTTAATTACCTTTTAGAATTTTAGGATTGTGTATTTACTAAGGTCTAGTAAGGACAATTGGTACAAACATCTCTCCCAAAACTAGTGGTGCTGGTGGTGGTATTGAGGAATGGCCTTTGTAAACTGGAAAGCAGTGTAGAAAAGAGAGCTTTTAAAATTATTTTTATTATTATTGCTATTATTATTTTCCATGGAACCTGGGACACTGTCAGTGCTCAGCAAATATTTCTTGAAAGAATGGAAGAAATGTCTAGGAATCAGGCTCTCTGGGCTCTAGGCCTGTTCTGTTACTAACTTGCAGTGTGACCTTAGATAAACATCACTTCCCTGGGCCCTGTTTGTACAATGATGTAACTGGATTAGATGACCTTGTTGATCCCTTCCAAGTTCTATATTCTGTGATTCTAAACTTTTCTGTTTGGCGTTTTAAGCTCCTCCCAACCAGCCCTCCCCTAACTTACCAGCTTTTTATTACCTATTACTCCCCTTCATATACTCTGTGGCCCAGATCAACTGGCCTTTTTCCTGGACCTCATCCACAGCCCTCCATCTCTTGTCTCTCAGCCTCTACCCTAGGCGTTTCCCATGCCTGGACCCCTTGAAATTTTTTTGTTTCCTTCAAGGTTCAGCCCAAGTGCTATTTTTTGCATGAGGCCTTTCCTGGTCCCTTCAGCTGCTTGGGCCTCTCCCCTGAAACTTATACCATGTATCTGTTTTATAAGTACCTATGTATGTACATGCTGTTTCCCCCATTAGAAAGTTAGCTCCTCAAGAGGAAAAGTGTTTTACTTTTTACAGTACCTGGCATATAACAAGTGCTTAATAAACTTCTGCTTGATTCACTGTATAATAAAAGAGATTCTGAGACTAGGAGAGAATTGGCCCTACCTGTTGGTTGATCTCAGAGATGTCCCCTGGACATGTCAGCTCCTCACCCCAGGAAAGTTTCCTAAGGATGCTTAAGCAGCCCCTGGAAGGAACTTTGAGAGCTCGTATGGTCTAGAGCCCTGCCTGCAGGAAAAACCTGTACCCTTCAGGACAAAGTGCTGCTATCTCTATCCTCAATTTGGGAGAAATGCTCTATGACCTCCTCAGTCCTAATAATTCTGAGAATCAGCATGTTTTTACTTCTGTCTGACTGAAGATCATCCTGCTTTCACACAAGCCCCTCCTCTTATTCCTCCATGGATGTGGAGAATGACAACCAGAAGGGCACCTCGTCCCTCTCATTGAGTCCCAGAAAAAAAGGACTCCAGGTCCATCTTCTTGGTTCACCCTAGGTGATCAAAAAGCCACCTCCCCTTAGCTCATCTGGGCTGTGCCAACCCAAGATGCCCCTCTCCTGGGCAAGTCAAATCAACAAACATTTATTTGTCAAGTGCCAGGCACTATACTAAGTGCCGGAAACAGGTGACAGGCTGATTGAGATTCCCAGAACCTCAGATCCAAGGACTTGGTGTGGCCCTGTGGCCAAGACGGTGACCAAGACATCTGGGCACATATAAAATGAAGATATCTGAGAATGACACTTCCCGGAGTCCAGCTGCACAGCACTGTCCATTTCCTGTAGGAACTTGGCTTTTTGTTCTTGCTTTCATGGCCATGAGAACTGAACTCTTCAGGCTTAGGGGCCCCATGGGAAGGGGGAAGAAGGAATGGAGGGAAGGGACAGAGGGAGGGAATGTGGTCTGAAAGGCTCCAGACAGAGCCTACCAGACTTTATCCCCCAATCTATTCCTTTAAATCTGTCTCTTTATCTTCATTGCCCTCCCCCACGCCAGGTCAGCTTTTGGGGACCAAGGCCCTGGGTACCATCTCTGGGATGGCTGGTGTGGACCTTACCAGTATCTCCTGAGCCATGGGCGTGCCGGATGCTTTGGACCCCCACAGCTCCTCTCCTCACCAAGGTGAACCAGGGAGAGTAGGGCAGAAAGAACATCTGTGGGAAGGAAGGATAGGGAATAAGGGAGGAGACACAGGCCTAGGAATACCTACTTCAGGGCTTCCTCCCATGTATACACACCTGAAAAGAGGCACCCCTCCCCACAATTGGAATGATCTTCCATCTGTGACCTAGGGAAGGAGACGCAGAGCTCTCCACTTATGAAAGTCCATTCTGAAGCTCAGACACTCCATGCACCAGCCATACCTTCTGGGGACAGACCACCTTTCTCTGCTTCTACTCCCAGCTGGCCAAAGAAATCTTAGTAGGGGAGAGGCCCCTCATCCCATCCCAGAGTCCTCCCAAGAGCTTTAGCTATTTAATTCCCTCTCCCACCAAATTTTCCCTGGCTTTCTTAAATTTGACACAAGGTTCCCCATAGATTGTTGTTGTTTTTTTTTTTTGGCTAGGCAATGGGGTTAAGTGACTCACCCAGGGTCACACAGCTAGTAAGTGTCAAGTATCTGAGGTCAGATTTGAACTCAGGTCCTCCTGACTCCAGGGCCAGTGCTCTATCCACTGTACCACCTAGCTGCCCCCATAGATTGGTTCTTAAAATATGTTTCTTTTTCTTGGTCTCAGTTTTCCCTCTTTGAAATAGGTAGAGTTCTGACTCCGGGGGAGTAGTTGAGATAGCCATGTGTGATGGGAAAGTATATGGGACAGAATGTTCAGTGACTTGGGTTTTGTGCCTCTTGATACCACTAACTCGTGTGATCTTGGGCAAGTCCTTTCCCCACTCTGGGCCTCAGCATACTTCCCTCTAAAAAGAGAGAATTAAACTGGATAGTCTCTAAAAGCCCCTCTATCTCTAATATTCTAGGAATCTGACTTGCATCTGGAATATGTTTTGAGTATGGGAGGTGCTGGCCTGAGCCTGGCTGCCCAACTCCCAGACCCGGTATTGCTTGTGACCCCTCCCCCACCAGCAAGCTCTCCGTGTCTGTTCTGTCTCTGGTCCTGCAGGTGCTTAGTAATTGTCAGCTTACGTGCTTAATGCAACCTAGGAAGAGGGGGCACATTTATTGGGCTAACAGGTCTTCTTTTCACAGCATATACACACACACACACACACACACACACGCACGCATGCACGCACGCCCGCCGGCGCATCCTGGTGCCCTGAGAGAAGCTCTCAGGCTTGGCAAAACCCAAACCATCTTCAGATTCTCCTCATCCCATACGGCTTCTCAAAAGGGATAAAAAGGGCTCCCTATACTTGGGGTTGTCAGGAGGAGCTACCATATCTATGACTTCTGGGGGGTCTAGGTGAGGTGCCCCACATCTGTGGACAACAAGACTTATATCCAGGGACTGGGAGAGGATCCCCATGTCTAGGTGCTAGGAACAGTTCTTAACATCTAGAAACTGAAAGGTTAGCCACCTTTAGTTGGAGAAAAGAAACCCATAATTCCCACCACCCCAAAACCTCTTTCCATCCTGGGATTAGATGACTGGTCTCCCTTTCTACCTCCTTTCCCCTTTCTCCCCACCCCCCAAGTTGGGCATAGTTGGGCTCTGAACTCACCGCTTTTGACATTAGGGCAGGACGACTCAGCTTACTAGCCCAGGGAGAGATCGAGGTGGAGAACGGCTGCTCCTAGAGTCGGGTAGAACAAGAGCTAGAGCCCAACCTCTTCTCCCTCAATCCCTCCCTCTCTCCCCTCCACCCCATCCTCCCACTCCTTTGTGTCAGGGACAAGTCCCAGGACTCCACACAGCAGCTTCCCATCCCTCCCCCACGTGGGAATGAGCCTGGGGCAGGGGCTGTGCGAGTGACAGAGATCTGTAGGGATGTTCAGAAGCAGGAGTAGGGGTCAGGCACATTTCCTACCCACTCTTCCTAGCTTGTAAGCACTTCTCCACCCCCATTCCCCAATATACTAAGCATAGAGGTTGAGGAGGGGATGAGCCAAGGCCCTTGAGGATCTGGGATAAAGCTATAGCAGACCTTACGGAATTTCAGAACTAGAAAGGATCACAGAACACAGAATATTAAAATAGAAAAGGGACCTTGAACATAGAATGTTAATGTTGGGAAGGGCCTTAGGACATGGAATGTGAGATGGAAGGGGCCTTAGATAATGGAATATTAGCATTGGAAGGGGCCTTAGGTCATAGAATGTCAGATGAAAGGAGCCTTAGATCATGGATCGTTAGAGCAGGAAGGGGCTTTAGAGCATAGAATGTTAGAGTAGGAAGAGGCCTTACGCATAGAATGTCAAAGATAGAATAACTCAGTCTTAGAACTTAGGAGGCTAGAGGTGGAAGTGACCTTAGAGATCATCTAGTCTAACCCCTCATTTGGTGAAAGTCTAGAGGTCTAGTGAGGAGAGGTAGTTTGCCCAAGAACACAGTTAGCTGTTGATAGAACTGGCATCAGATGCCCATCAGTTGGGAATTGCTAAACAAGTTGTGGTATATGATTGTGATGGAATACTATTGTGCTGTAAGAAATGATAAGCAGGCTGATTTCAGAAAAACCTGAAAAGACTTACATGAACTGATGCAAAGTGAAGTGAGCAGAACCAGGAGAACATTTTACACAGTGACAACAACATTGTGTGATAATTAACTATGAATGACTTAGCTCTTCTAGGCAATATAATGATCCAAGACAATTCCAAAACGCTCATGATGGAAAATACTATCTGGAAAATGCTATCCACCTCCAAAGAAAGAACTAATGGAATCTGAATGCAGATCAAAGCATACTATTTTTCACTCTGGGTTTGTGCATGTGTGTGTGTGTCTGTTGTTTTTTTTTGGGGGGGGGGTCTGTATCTTCTTTCACAACATGATTAATATGGTAATATGTTTTGTATGATTAAACATGTACAACCTATATCAAATTGTTTACTGTGTTGGGGAGTGGGAAGGTGAGGGAGGGAGAAAATTTGGAACTCAAAATTTTTAAAAAAAGAATGTTAAAAATTGTCTTTCCATGTAATTGGGGGGAAATAAAATATTATTCAAAATTTAAACAAAACAAAACCAAAGAAGAAGAAGAACTGACATCCGAACTCAGGGATCCTGCCTCCTAGACAGGAGAACTTTCCACCAATCCAGTTGAATGCATCATAACATTGGTAATTTCATTCTGCCTGTTCCCTATTTCAAATTTATGAGTGTCTCATGCTATTTATTCACATTCATTTAACCAATCTATGCTGACCCCTCTACTGAAATTATCCTTCAGTGCTCCCCTACAAGTGGAAGTAGCCTTGAATTCTTTTTTTAAATATATTTTTTATCTTTTTTTTATATCACCTATATTTACCAGTATATCAATCTTCCTTTTGCCTCCCAGAGGACCATCTCTCCCAGTAAGGAACAAAAAGGGGGGGGGGCAAGGGTAAATCCAGCAAAACTAATCAACAAACTAATCAACTAATCAAAAAGTCAAATATTCCATATCCACAGTCTTTACCTCTATAAAGAAGAGGGGTAGGTACCTTCTTATATGTGTTCTTGGCAACACAGTTAGTCATTATAATGTCACAACATTTAATTTCAGCCAATAGTCAGTCAATAAACACTTATTAAGTGCCTACTATGTACCAGCTATTGCGCTAAGTGCTGGGGATACAAAGAAAGGCAAAAGACAATCCCTACCCAAGGAGCTCATAATTTGTTTTTGTTTTGTTATTCTTTCTGTTTACATCATTTGTAGTCTTTGTGTATATTGTTTTCCTGGTTCTGCTTACTTCACTTTGCATCAGTTCATATAAATCTTCCCATGCCTCTCTGAATTCTTCATATCCATTATTTCTTACAATGCAGTTATACTCTCTTCATTTCTGACATTTGATTAAGCCATTCTCCAATAAATGGGCATCTACTTTATTTCTAATTCTTTACTACCACAAAAAGTGCTCATGCTAGAAGTTTACTTCTTTGCTACATACTCTTCCTCTGATTGGTTGGTTCTTCCCAAACCTCTATTTTGAGAAAGGTGCACAAGCCATTCATATCTTCATTCCTCTCTGGCTCCACTTCCAACTCTCTGGATTTTCTCCATCATGTCCCTGCAGGTAGCTTCTCTCTTCCTGCCTAGCCCCCTTTTCAACTTCCTTTTCTGTGTATTTTCCTCTATTAGAATGTAAACTCCTTGAGGGTAGGGACTGTTTTTCTTCTTGCTTATATTTATATTGCCTGCATTTAGCACAGTGCATAATAAGCACTTAACAATACATTTAATAGATGCTTTTTGTTTTTGTTGAATGAATATTTTGTTGTATATGAGACTTTTCTTTCTGCCTCTGACCTCCTTAGGTTATGTGCCTAGCATTGAGATCTCTGGATCAAAGTATATGAATATTTTAGTCACTTTTTTACCATAAGGTCCTGGGTTCCTAAAGAACATGTCAGTCAAGCACAAGCCAGGTCAGGTCCTATCAAGCTCAAAAGATTTTTAACTTGCAAGCCAGGGCAGTCTATACACATGTCGTTCAAGGACCACACTAAGTTCAGAAAAGCTCAACATTTTGTTGGCTATTGGGTAATGAATTTTTTTCCCTTTTTTTTTTTTTTTTTTTAGGCAGTTGGGGTTAAGTGACTTGCCCAGGGTCACACAGCTAGTGTCAAGTGTTTGGACTGAGGCCGGATTTGAACTCAGGTCCTCCTGACTTCAGGGCTGGTGCTCTATCCACTACACCACCTACCTGCCCCACGTAATGAATTTTTTTCAGCTACAACAACTCACTGAGACTATGTGTAGTTAGGAGTGGAGAGGGTCACTCACCCCAATAAAACCACAGATCTTTGAAGTGTCGATTGACGTCTACTGTCTGCCCAGGTACTCAGCAGTTATGTATATAGAACATTTAAGGATACAGAACACTTATTTTACTATTAGAATGTAAGTTCCCAAAGGGCAAAGATTAGGTTTTTTTTTCAATCTTCATTTTTCCCACAGAGAACACAGTGCCTAGAACTTAATAATTCTTTAATTGCGTTACCTCCCCCAAGGTTTCTGAGTAGAGGCCTGAGCACATGAGAGGAAGCAGCAGTGGTACAGTGGCGTGTGAGATTTAGCACTGGGACAAACTTGGGTTCAAATTTTGTCTCAGACACTTCCTAGCTATTTGACTCTGGGTAAATTACTTAACCCTTCTCAATCTCAGTTTCCACATCTCTAAAATGGGGATGATAATGACACTTACCTCACTGGGTTGTTTTGAGGTTTGAATGAGATAATATATAAAGTATTTTGCAAGTGTTAAAGTGCTATTTAAACTCCAGTTATGGCTGTTGAGGTAAGTCTAGAGAAGAATAAGACCCAGTCCCAACTCTCACAAAGCTTCCAGTCAAGGGATTATGTGCAAATATCTGTTATGAAGAGATCAGGAAAGGTCTTCTGTAAGAGGATGTAGCTAAGATGTATTTTAAAGATGTGAAAGTCATTTGCATAGAGGTGATAATTGAACCTGTGAAAGTTGTTGATGAAATCACCAAGAGAATTATTGTAGTGAGAGAGGGGGACCTAGGATAGATTTCTAGAGTGCACCTACACAAAGGAGATAATAATAATAATAGCTAGTATTTGTATGACACTTTAAGGTTTGTAAGGTGTTTTACAAATAATATCTCATTTTATCCTCATAGCAACCCTATTATTATCCCTACTTCACTGATGAGAAAACTTACTTGAAAGAGGTTATCTGAGGCAGGATTTGAACTCATCTTTCTAACTCTGGATGCTAGGTGGCATAGTGGATAAAACACGGGGCTTGGAATCAGGAAAACTCATCTTCATGAGTTCAAATCCAGCCCTAGACATTTACTAGCTGTGTGACTCTGACCAAGTCACTTCACCCTGTTCGCCTCAGTTTCCTCATCTGTAAAATGAGCTGGAAAAGGAAATAGCAAACCACTCCAGTATCTTTGCCAAGAAATCCCCAAATCGGTCACAGAGAGAGTCAGATGTGACTGAAAAACCACTTAATAACAATTTCCTGACTCTAGGTCCATCATTCTATTCACTGCTCTACCCAGTTGCCTATGGAAGATGGGTTGGTTGTTGTCCTTCGTTCTCTTTCTTTTTTTTTGCGAGGTAATTGGGGTTTAGGAGACCAATTGTGCTTAGGAGGAGGACAAAGGACTATGGAGAGGTATCACTTTGGATTAGGATAATCAAGGAAGGTTTCATGGTGGAGATGGCATCTGAACTGGGTCTTAACACTTTTTCATATCCTTCATATGACTTAATGTAGAGCTAGGCACTCCATAGATGCTTAATATATACACATGGTGACAGATCAACTGACTGATAGTTGCTGTCCAAGTATGGACCTCTTCAGGCTCAGAGGGCCATGGGCATTCCAGATTATCTTCTTCCAGGCACCCGCCTGCAAGGCTCCTTGTATCATAGTGGTCCCTTAAGAGTTTAAATTAAAGGGGCAGCTAAGTGGCACAGTGGATAGAGCACTGGCCCTGAAAGTCAGGAGGACCTGAGTTCAAAGCTTACTAGCTGTGTGACCCTGGGTAAGTCACTTAACCCCAATTGCTTAAAAAAAATTTTTTTTTAAAAAGAGTTTAAATTAAGAGTTCAAGGAGAATAGCATGAGATGTTTATTCCCAAAGAGCAGCAGCTGATAGATAATTGAGGCCATGAACTCTGAATAAGAAGAGGCCTGGAGTAGAGCCTGAGGCCCCCACAACCTCTCCTACCTCCAGCCCTGAAAGCTGGCTTCTGTAGGAATCAGACACCCTACGAAAGAGGGAGGGGGCCAGGCACAGCTGAAGGTGGACAAAGACCAAGCGCAGGCAGGGGCCATTTGGGGATGGGTCTTCCAGAGCAGGCAGCAGCCTTGGTTCAGGCTCCATACTGGACATTGGTGGCAATGACCAAAAATCCCTAAAGAAACAAAAGTCCTTCAGTCAGTGAAATGAAGAAGGGAGCTCTCTAGCCACACTCTCCTAAGTTTTAAGTGCTTCCAGATTCACCAAGGGCCTTTCTGAAGGACACACAGGTCCCAAGCTAAGTTATATTGAAAGAGTTGAGTGGATGGCACCCTGGAAGAGGATCAGATTTAGAGTCAGAAGACCTGAGTTTGAATCCCTATGAGGTATTGGGTAGGTACGGGGTGAGATAGATACAGCACCAGGTCTGGAGTCAGAAAATTCTTGCTGTCCTTTCAGCATATCCAGCTCTCTGAGACTTTGTTTTGGTGTTTTCTTGGCAAAGATACTGGTATGGGGGGCAGCTAGGTGGCACAGTGGATAGAGCACCGGCCCTGGAGTCAGGAGGAGCTAAGTTCAAGTTCAAATCCGGCATCAGACACTTGACACTTACTAGCTGTGTAACCCTGGGCAAGTCACTTAACCTCATTGCCTAACAAAAAACAAAAAACAACAAAAAAAAGATATTGGAGTGATTTGCCATTTCCTTCTCCAGCTCATTTCACAATTGAGG